CCTGAGCTTCCTGCAAAGAAAGTGGTTTACGTGCTGTACACTCAGGGGCTCTTCCAAAAGTAAAATGGAGAGTAAATGAGAGAAACAATGCTCCACTTCTCTTCTAAAGAACACTAAAAAAAGAAGTCCCAGACCATGTCATTGAACCTCTTACCAAGTTGAATCTCCCATATTGTTGAACTGAAGATGATAAAGATTCTAATAGAAAGTGCTTCTGCTGCTGCTAGTGGTATTTCCCCAACTGAGGAGCCTTTAACATAGTTTTTCTATATAACAGAGTGCTGTAGTTCAGCAATTCAGCACCTTAGATATATGGACAGTAGAAGGTCTAATTCATAGGAAGTTATAGCTTATTTTTCTCTTGGGTGATGAAGGGCTACTGATTGTTGTCACACATAGTGGTGCAGTGGATGGAGCACTGGGCCTGAAGTAAGGAAGACCTGAATTCAAGTATGGCTTCAGACACTTACGAGCTGTGTGACTCTGGGCAAGTCACTTAACCTCTGTCTGCCTCAGTATCCTCATCTGTAAAATGGGGAGCATAATAGCACCTACTGTCTCACAACAGTTGTTGTAAGAATCAAATTTGTAAAGTGCTTACTTAGCACAGTGCCTGGCACATAGTAGATGGTATATAAATGCTTATTCATTCCCCCTTGATCATTTTTTTTACCATATAAATATTAATTTCCTCTCTTCCTTTGATAAGGAGGATATTTGGAAGTCCTTTGCTTTTATTGTGCCATACATTCTAACCAATCCCTAAATAAAAACCTAGTTTTTTCAAGTTTGTTCTTCTCAGATTAGAAAAATGCTCCTGAAATTCTAATCCCTTTCTACTTCCAGTCTTTTGTGAAGCAAGAAGAGACTGATTAGCGAGTCCTGAAGAGCAGGGACCAAATGTGCTTTGCAAGTCATTGGTACGTGGTAGGTTATTTGCTGAATGCAGAACACGTAGACAAGCCAGTAGGTCTGTTAAGGACTCAGTTTCCCCATTTGTATATGAAGGAGGCAGTCTAAATGTTCTCCAAGGCCCTGCCAACTCTGACACCTTAAGATTCTTATATAGTCTATTTTCAAGGGGAATTCCCTCATCCCCAACAAAGCTGCCAGTATTATCCTGGTGCATTTGTTTAATGAGAAAAGTGCATCTTTTGCAGACATCAAAGAAGGAACAATATGATACCCACCAACTTATACAATGGAAGCTGTTTCCTGGACCTTGGGCTCTTCCTGGGTGCTGCATTTGTACTCCTATGAGGTCAGACTCATGTCTTCTGTGCTCCTATCCGCCTTCTGGTGAGTTATATTGAAAGAGCTGCCAATTTTCTGCCATTTAGAGGCTATCTTGCTGTAGGGAGACTTCTTTTCCCCAGACCTCCCAGGGCAAGATGGCTAGCCATCATCGATCCTGGTACTTGATATGTATGGGATCTCATGGAATCTTTCTCACATTACATGTGCTGTCACATGTGAATAATACTGGCTCACACAGAAAAAATGTTTTTTCTTCGCCACAATAAAACTTACTAGAAACCTAGCAAGAACTACACACAAAAAAAGTACTTGAATGGTAAGATGATGGATTTCAGATCATTATGTTTTTGTTGTATTGTTGAATGGGCATTAAAATTCATCTCTGGGAAATGTTGAACAGCAAATGAACAAAGCCCCCATAATAGTTCTAATCCTTCTCCTTAATATGTGCACCAGAGGGTGCTATGCTGTGGGTCTGAAAGGGAATATTAACCATTCCAAAATACATTTAGGTTTCATTTTAAAAAAATAATGAAAGGCAAAATGCCTTACTGTATATTCTTGCTTCCCTCTTGAAAGAGGAAAAAAAAAACCAGATACCGTTTTAAACTGCAGCAGTGAAAAAAAAAACATGTGAAATATGTGATGTGGTGTTTTTACCAACTGTCTAAATAAAGGTTTAGTGAGTCACTATGGAAAACAGAAAATCTTTCTTTATTTTAAGAGCTGCAGTTTAAGAGTTTTGTATGAAAAAGCTTCCCTTAGGTTTGTAACTTAAACATTGCCCATCTGCTATTTCCTCCCTGGTCTGCATTTACAGTAAATTTGAGATTTCCTTTTTTTTTCCCCAGAAAATATATTTTTGAAAAAATGTACAGGTTTGGCCAACAGTGCCTACATGGATAGAGGGAAGGTTAAAATCAGTTCTTTGGAAATGTACTTCTTCTTCATCTGTATTCCGAGAGAGCCATTTCCTTTGTCTTTGGTCTAAATGTTTGAAATAGGACCACCATGCATGAGGATGTGAGAGGAGGTTGAATCTTAATTGGGACCTCAAACCACTTTCTAAAGTCATTTAGGAGGAATGGAGAAGCCACCTCACTTCAGAGCATCCCTCTTGGTGACCTTGTTTTCGTTGATCGGGTTTGAAGAGAAATGCCAGTCCCCAAGCATGCACAGTATGACGCTCTGCTCATTACTTTCTGGGGCCATAAAAGCTTCCTCTCACTTATTTATTTATTTTCCAACAAAACACTCCACCTGCCTTTCTAGCTGTGATTTTCCCTTTCCCTGCTAGGGCAAAGACATTTTCTCCAAAGGTATGTTTTGTATATTATTCTGGACTACAGAAGTGTTTGGATTCACACTGCCCCTTTCCTGGTCAAAGGGAAGCTGGTACCCAGACTTAAGAGAAATTATGTCCAGGAACAGGATTCAAAGACCCAAGTGGCTTCCTCAACTTGTATTTCTGTCTCTGACTCCCATTATTAATGAACTCATTCACTTTCATAAAAACAACTACACGAGTGCTTCTAACCATATCTATAAAACTATTTAATGCACTTTTCGAAACAAAGGCATCTTACAGCCATAGTAATTGCAGTTTTACTAGACCTTTAAATGAGAAGCAGCTACTTATTAAGTTTTGATATGGTGAGCTGATTAGACAAGTTAAACATAAAGGCACAATTTATGCATCCTGTATAACCACATGTGCCCGTAATGCAGTTCTAACACTGGTATTTGACTCTCCTAGAGATAGGAAATCCTGCCAGGTATACAGTTTTATGCCACTTAGAGGTTGCAAGTAGTAAAGAGAAAAATGCTGGATTTTACAGGAAAATAATATTCATAAATCTCCCATGGTGAATTACAGTATAACTCAGAGCTGTCTTTGTTTTGCTGCTACTATGAATTCAATTCTGTTTCCAGTGTAGAAACATAAACACAAAGACCAAAGTGGAAACCACTCCCCTTGCATTTGGCAAGGGTTTATAGCCAATTTACAGCTGGACTTTCAAAACAGCCTTAGAAACAACAGGAATCACAAAGACCTTCCCAACCCTTTTGTTTCCTCTTCTGGTTAAGTGAGGTGACCTGCTGTTTATGAGAAAGGATGCTTTGAGCACATGAAGAAGTCCTCTCAAATCTTTCTCCATTCTTAAATCATCTCCTTGGACTTGAGTGTTTGGACACATTTGGCTTCCTCTTGATTTTGACATCATGGAGAGGCTGAGTGTTTTATTTTGAAACAAAGAGTGAGTAAATGTTCTTATATTTTGCTGGGGAAAACCTAAGTTGTCTCATCCATTAAGATGATACTCATAAAGTAATATATTTTGATGGCTGTATTAGTTTTTGTGGAGGTTCATTTTTTAGACATGTATGCTCATAACCTGGGACTGCCATCATCATCAGGAAGCTTTCCATAAATTGGAATAAAGGTGGTCATGTTTTCCAATACTGCTCTGTATAAAAATGCAATGCCTCATCATTCTCTACCTCAAAGGATTCACATATAGCTTTAGTTGTACAGTAAGAAGACTAGGGACAAATTTTGTTCCTAGCTATCTATGTGGCCTTGGGTAAACTACATCATTGGGAGTTTCCTTATTTGGAGAATGGGAATAATAATACCTTTTCCTGTTTGCCTAACAGGATTGATGTTTGGATGAAATGAGATGATCAATCAATACAATATGTATTAAGTACCTACCACATGCTGATAATATGCTATATCAGCCTAAATATAGAACAGAGTTCTAAGATAAGATATCTTTGAAAGGCAAAAAAAATGCAGACTAAAAAATTTAAATAAAATTGCTATATTTTAAAAATGTATGCAATCTTCATTTTTGTTTCTTTCAACTCAAATGATACTTTTTTCTTATCATGGCTATCTTTGTCTTCATCATTTCATTGTCTTACAAAACTCACTCAGGCTTTGCCCATGGAACAAGTACTGAAAAATATAGCACACAAGAGCACTGTGAAAAATGTCAGCTCTTGTAAAATTTAAGGTAATATTATTAATGTTAATGCACTAATTATTTGCTTGTTTCATTCAAATGCTTACTCGTCACTTCTTTTTAGCTTTCATGAATATTTCCCACAGTGTTGTACTGTCTTGTAAGCTCTCATAGGCCAAGGACTAACACTGAATCTCTCCTGTTTTTTTGTTAGATACATATAATATTCTAATCTAGTCTGTCAAGTGCTTTTATAGGAAGCCTTGTATAAAAAGATCCTTAAATGCCTTTTGAGTGGGTGCCCATCAGTTGGCGAATGGATGAACACATTTTGGTCTGTGAATATTATAGAATATTATTGCACTATAAAAAGTGATGAATGTGAAGAATTCCAAGAAACCTGAGAAGACTTGGATGGAGGGATGCAAACTGGAGTAAGTAGAATCCAGGGAGCACTATGTACAATAACTATAATAATGTAAAATAACACTATTAAACCACAGGCAAACTGATGAATTTTAATGAGCAATCCTAGAAAACTGATGAGGAAACCATGTGATACAGTAGCAAGATGACTCATGGTCTGTCAAATCAGAGAACCTATTTTCAATTCCTCCTTCTGATACTCCCTGTTCAGCGTTGGATGGGCCTAACCTCCATGGTCCTCAGTTTCCTAATATGTAAGGTGATTATTTTGAACTAGATGGCTTTTGAGATCCTATCTAGCTCTAAAAGGATGATCTATGATCCCTCCCCTCTCCCAGAAAAAGTGGATGACAGTGAATATGGTCTATGTTGTCAGATGCAATTGCTGAGTTGGTTGGCTTTGATTAAATGTTTTTCTTTCTTATAAAGAAGGGTTCAGTAGAGGAAGACAGTTGCAGGGTAAATGGCTGTGATGTAAAAACAAAAAAAGCAATAAAAAACAAAAAAGAAATGCCTTTGGATCACGATCTAAAAGAACCATGGGGAAAATTTTCACTTAAAGGGCTTCAGCCATGGCCATAAATAGTTCCTAGGCACCTCATGTATATATGTTTTGGTGGGAAGGGGGTCCAAAAGTGAAGGGGAGGTAGAGTTTCCAATGGAAAGTCATTGATATTTTAATGAAGGGATCACTTTTGGAAAGTTTTGCTTGGGAGTCCAGAATTTAATTTTTTGCCACTGCCAAATAAATTCAAGGAACCATGGCCATGTTGACACAAAAAAAGCAATTAAAAAACAAAATAAATTGTGGCAAAAAATAAAACGGCGTGGTACACTTGAGTGAGCAACAGTTCCAGAGTCAGAGGGCGCGGATCCATCTCCCAGCTCATTAACCTCCCTGGGCCTCATCTTCCTCATCTGTAAGATCTGTAAGATGAAAGGGTCAGACTAAATGTCCTTTGAGGTAGGTGCCTTTCAGCTCTAGAGCTGTGATTCTATGACCAAAACACCCAAACAAGATTCACTATTTAAAAACAACAACAACAACAACAACAAACCCCAAAAACCCTTTGTTTCTAGTCTCGTCTTGCTAAGAAGAGCATTTTTTAGGCAAAAAAGTTTCCTGATTGACTGTCAGTGAGTCAGGTCTATGTTGTTGTTCATTTTCAGTCACATGTTGTCATTTTCAGTCCTGTCCAACTCTTTGTGACTTCATTTGGAGTTTTCTTGGAAAGATACTGGAGTGGTTTGCCATTTCCATCTCCAACTCATTTTACAGATGAGGAAACTGAGGCAAACTGAGTTAAGTGACTTACTTAGGGTCACCCAGCTAGTAAATATCTGAGGCCAGATTTGAACTTTGAAGATGAGTCTTCCTGACTCCAGGTCCGGCAGTCTATCCACTGCCCCAGCTAGCTACCAGTTCAGATCTATAACCAGCCTTATAAACTGAGGGGAAAGAAAAATATTCAGATAGAATATAAAATATTTGGGTTTCTGGTGCTTCTTGCCTGGTATATCTATCTTCTGGCATCATTGTGTTTTCATTTTTACTGTATTCTCTAACCACAGATTACATCCCAGGTACTCTCAAGGTATAACTATTGTGGTTATTTGTTCTAAGGGAGCCAGGCATGAGAGCCCTGATTAGAGGTGGATCAGAATAAACTTTCCCCATCAGTGCAAAAACAAATCAAAGTAAGTAGCCTACTAATGGCAGCAACATCTTTGTATGTGGTGGAAGCCCATTATTTGGAGTTACAGAAAATCCACTTTGTAAAACCACACACATACACAGTCACAGAAGAAGCCACATCACCACAGTAGCTTCAGAAGGAAGGGCTCTTCCTTTAAGGCTGATATTACTCAAAGACAAAAGATAAAGTCAAGACACAGACTTATTCTACACTTCCTTCCAAAGCCTGGGACTTTTACTCTGTTTTCTTTTTCAGATCAGATCAAAAAAAGCAACAGCAGGAAATATTTTTCATCTCTTCTTCACATAGCCTAGAGGTGGCTTGTGGGTATGAAGCCAAGGTTTTCTTGTCATTGAGGCTAATTCTGGAACTGAGAGGGCTAAGGTGGAGGTAAAAAGAAACTGGTTCCCTATGCTTAAAAGAACAGAGAAATCTTAGGGAATTAATCAGTGATGCTGTGTTACCTACAGAGCTTTGCATGACTGGCGATAGGCATTCCTGAAGGAAGGACACCTCTCTACTGAGAAGTACAACCTAACTTTCAACTATGTTATAAGTGGGATGGGAGGGGAGGGAGGGAGAATCCAAAAGTCCTTTGTATTTGGTGTAGAAGGGACAGCATAGGACGGTAGAGTCAGACTTAGACATAAGAAGAACTGAGTTCAGATTCCACTTTAGACACTGGCTGTGTGACTTAAGATTTAGGATATTGAGCATTAAAAATTTTAAATAGTAGGTGATCGGCCATACAGAAGATGGCTTTGGAGCATCTGGATTCTGTCCCTAGTGCAAATGAAGTAGGCATATATACATTGGTGGGTTTTTGAAAGTGAGGAGGTATACTGCAAGCTACTGCCTTTGAGGGGATTATTCCCCTGGCTTTGTCTGAACTCTATCTGCTATGTCCATCCTTCCCCCTTCCCCAACAGCTCTGCCCTGTCAGCTGGCTTAATCTGTGTAATAGGCCTGTGTGGAGAACTTTGCCTTTTTTCTCTATTGAGTTGGAATCAGGTTTGACCTTGGACTTGTTTCCCACGTGGCTGCCAATGCAGCAGTCCAAGAAGCTACCACTAATAATACCCAACATTGATGTGGCACTTTCCATGTGCCAGGTACTGCACCGAGCCCTTTACAAATATTATCTCATTTGTAATGAGGTAAGTGTTGTTGTTATCCCCATTTCACAGATGAGGAAATGGAGGCAAATAGAGGTTAAGTGACTGCTAGCAAGTGTGTCAACCAGGATTTTATATTTTAACTAAAATACCAATGAAACCTAGTGTGTATGTGTGTGTGTGTGTGTATGTGTGTGTGTGTGTGTGAGAGAGAGAGAGAGAGAGAAAGAGAGAGAGAAACACTTAGGCCAAGCTAACTATAGAATACCTTAAGTGGAAAACTCATACTAGAAAGAGATTCCCAAATCACCTCTTTCCCAAGATCAGTTTAGGCTTCTTGCTTGCTTGAGCTGGACCCAGGCATTTGGCTACCTCCCGGAGTCAGATGCATAAAGTCCCAAGACCACAGTCCATAAAACAGTAGTATAAATATATTGGACACACAATCATGTACTTCATCAATCTATCCCCCCCCCAAGCTATCTTTTATTCATGAATTTTTCTAGTTACTGCAATACATTCTTGACTGTCTGTGAGCCAAAGTCCAAGGGAGCCAGATGTGCTGAAGACATCAATACTAAGGGGTCTATTCATCTAAAATTTGGCTCCATGGGTGCTGAGGCATATAAGCTTTGCAGCCAACCATAATTGTCACTGACATCTCCCTGGAGTGACCCTAGCTCTCAACACCCCCCTTTCTTCCCCCTCCCCCCACCAAACATTAGAACTGTAGGTCCCACTAACTGCCCTTCTACTATTAGGAACTGTGTCTTCCCAAACTAGCTATGCCAGAAGTGTGTGTGTGTGTGTGTGTGTGTGTGTGTGTATGTTGGGAGAAGCAGTGGAGGGGCAAAGATATCAGCCTCTTCCAGAATGATGGATAAACTCCTGCCCTTCTGGGAGAGGGCCCGGCTCCATCTCTTGTTCTGGGCCCAAGACAAGCAGTGTAGTAGGTCATGAGAATGCAGGCCTCCTTTCAGGGCTGCCAACTATACAAGGTGTGCATCTGGAGGAACTGCTTTTCCAAGCTGCTGCCAAATGTATCTCATCAGTCCTTAAGTCTCACTGATTTTCACAGCACAGCCATGGCAAACAAAATAGGTATATCCTGGGGGAAGAGCAGAGAAAGGAGAGTAAAAGGGAGTTTCTAGAAGAGGATCTGGGGGGTCCTCTAGGCCAGCCTTCTCATTTCACATATGAGGAACTGAGGCCTAGAAAGGAAAGGTGGTTTGTCCAAGGTCACACAGGTTGTAAATGGAAGACCCAAGGCTCAAACTCAGATTCTGTGACTCGGTTATAACAAGCTGTCTCCTATAGAAGTAGAAAGGTTGAGGGGAAGTGGAGGGTCCAGGGAGGAAATGCCTGGGAGCGTGGGTGTCTCTGAAATGATACATTTCTAAAAAGAAGGTTGTCAGAGGAATAGTTTGGGGGTAGTTCCAAAAGGGCCTCAAGAAGAAGCCAAAGCATTTCTGCCACTTGAGTGGAGAACGTGATGAGGCTAATTTAGTTAGATGAGTTGAGTCCAGAAAAGCATCCAAAACTAGCAAAATTCTATTCGTTTATATTTGTATAATTGGAAAACGACCCAATTGATTTGGATGACATTTGGACTTTAAAAAAAAAGCCACTCTGAATGTTAAACCTTACCTACCGAGTTTCCTTCTAGTAATCCTGGATTTTTATAGTCAGGTTGTTACACCTCTTAAAACCAACAGTTATGTCTGAGACACATGACACTTACTAGCTGTGTGACCCTGGGCAAGTCACTTAACCCGGATTGCCTCACCAAAAAGCAAAAACAAAACAGAACAAAACAAAAAAACAAGTTACCCTAGAAATGGAACCTTAACTGTCAAGAAAAGAGTGAGCAAAGAAGATAGTTCTTACCCATCATCATCCCTTCTCCATAGAGTAGGGCAGTGGATGGAGCACTGGCCTGGATGAGTTCAAAATCTTAGTTTCTTCACCTGTCAGCACCTCCCTCTTAGAGCTGTTGTGAGAATCAAATGAGATAATATTTGTCTGAGATAATGAGATAATAAAGCACTTAGCACAGCCCCTGGCACATAGGCACTTAATAAAGGCTTGTTCCCTTTTTCTTCCTTCTATTATACATGTACAGATACATACATACACACATGCATTGGTGGCATACTGAAGAGTTTAGACTGAAGAAACATTTTTTTGACAGGAGTGAAGCTTGAGGAAAGGAATGCACACTGTCTCGCCTGAAAGTATGGTATTAATAATTAAGCCATGCGATCATTACCTCAGGATATTATTTCTTAAATATCTCTTGCAAAGGCAATATGATTACATATGAATGATATCAATTTTCTACCAACAAAAAAAGTCCACAGAAATAGGAATTGAATTACACTGTCCAATTTGCTGTAAAGTTCACTGTATGTGGAGAAATTAATCAAAGCTCCCACCACCCATCTTTATGGGCACATAAAATGATGTGAACTTCCATTTTTAATAAAGATGCATAGCATTTTTATGAAGACTGACTAAGAACACTATAATGGACTGAAAAGCTACCGATACATTAAGAATGAAAATTTTGAAGGACGTATTTACTAAGACTCTTCTTTCATGCGGGGCCATATTTCTCTGAAGTCTCCCTTTGAATCGTGAAACAGGAGAAATTTCAGAGGACATAACAATCTGGGCTTTCTGTAGGTTCACCTTCAAGGTATAAAAATGCCCAATCAACCTTTCTGCAGTGCAGTGATTTCAATTAGGATGTCTGCACCCCACTTCGCAGTTGAAGAGGGGGGAGAGGTAGAGTTTGGGGTGGGAAAAAGGAATAGAGCAAAAGAGTCGGTTATGAAAGTTCAGATCAACAACATATTTAGTGCTTAATATGAACGAGGCACTTGAGATAGCTGCCACATGAGGCCTGTCTTGAATTCTCTACTTATTAGTTTCCCACAAAAATTGCCTGGCATTTAGCATCTAACATTAAGGCTGGAAGGGGCTTTAGAGACTTCTCATCTAGCCCATTTCTGCTATTCCTCTTCCTTCCCCCCCCCCCCATTTTACAGATATGGGTAGTGAGTGTCAGATCAAGGATTCACTCATGATTGGGACTCAAGTTCAATTCTCTTACCATTTTACCTCTCTGCAGAAGAAACTGAGGCTCAGAGAATTTAAGTGACTAATCCCAGGCCGCTTTGCTTTTGGACATATTTTGTATTTCCTTTCCTGTGTTGGTGCTGCCCCATAGAATGTAATCATCTTGAGGGCAGGAGCTGATTTGTGTGTGTGTGTGTGTGTGTGTGTGTGTGTGTGTGTGTGTGTATATGTGTGCTTATATCCCCAGTTCCTACCACAGTTCTGGGCACATAAATAACAAATAATAAATGCTTGTTGAGGTTAATTGAACACAGAACCTAACCTCAAAGAGCTTACAGTTTTATAGTTTGTGGCCCTGGGAATCCAGGAGGTAACCAAATGCTTGGCTCCAGTTAAAGGAAGAAAGAAGCCAAAACTGACCATGGAAAAAGAAGATGAAATTAGTGATTTTGGAACCACTTTGTACTTAAGATTCCAGTTAACATGATTATTATTGTCATCACACACAAAACATACAGAGGTTTTTATTTTATTTTTTACAAATTTGATGAAGACATAATACATTAGCCTCTCCTTAAGACTCTCTCCACTTAAGTGAGACATGTTTACACAAATAAGTATGATAAGATAGAATGTGGTCCAATCCAATAAACATTTATCAGGTGCCTACTATGTGGTAGGTGCTGTGCTGTGCTGAGTGCTGGGGATATATGCTTAATATAAAAAAAAAAGACAGTTCCTGCCCTCAAGGAGCTAACCAACAAAAAAAAGTCCATAGAAATAGGAATTGAATTACACTGTCCAATTTGCTGTAAAGTTCACTGTATGTGGCACAATCAATCAAAGCCCCACCACCTATCTTTATGGGCACATACAATGATATGAACTTCCATTTTTAATAAAGATGCATACCAACACAACAAAAGAGGAAAGAAAGGAAGGGGGGAGATAGGACACCAAGGAGCACCTGGTGCAGGGACATCTTTTCCAGGAGAGTTGAGCCCAAGCAGAGCAGAAAAAGCAGAGTGGAAGGAGCTAAGACCAGTTCCTGCCCTCTATAAAGAAAGGCATTGGGAGGACGTTGGGACGACACCCTCCAACATCCAGAGAGGAGAGGAGGCTTAGGGAGGTGGTATCAATCAAGGCTTGAGTTAGCAGTATGGTGGTGAATTGAGAAGTGATGAGCTTATCCTGAGAGGGGCATCTTGTTCCAGTTGAAACCAGGCAGGGCTGCAGATGAAAAGTGGAATGTGATAAAGGAATACTGAAGGATAAGCATAGTGGGAGACAGAATGTGATAAGGACTAAGGGACAGGTCCACAAAAGAAGAAAATCTAAAGAGATTTGTTTGGCCTTTTTCTTTTTCTTTCTCTCCTTCTCCTTCACCTCATTACACAGGCAAATATCAAAATAGCAGCAATAATACCTACCCCTCTCCACCATGTCTTCCCCTTCTCCTCCAAGAACGAATTTGAAAGTATTTCACAGGATTGCTTGGAAGGCAAGGGAACGGGGATTTGAGGTTACTCACTTTTTTCCTTTAGTGTTAGTTTTGCAACCTCTCTCTTCCACATCAACTTCATGTTAGCTAATCAGCTCTAAGCCCCTCTGTTTCAAACACAAAGCAACCTTGCTTCAAAAGAGCTTTTTGCTGTTGTTTTTAGTTGTGTCCAACTCTTTGTGATACCACTTGGGATTTTCTTGGCAAAGGCACTGGAATGGGTTGCCATTTCCTTCTCCAGCTCATTTTACAGATGAGGAAACTGAGGCAAACAGGGTTAAGTGACTTGTCCAAGGTCACCCAACTATTAAGTGTCTGAATCTAGATTTGAACTCAGGAAGATAAGTATTCTTGACTCCAGGTCTGGCACTGTCACTGTGCCACCTAGCTGCCCCTCAAAAGGGCCTTACCACCTTTCCAACTCTTAGAGTGCTGGATCAGATGCAGACCAATGGTTGGAAAATCCCTGTCCCATTTCACTATGTTTCAAAATCTATTTTCCTTTGCAATGTCCCACCCCTCTCCCCCCCAAAAAAAACATTAAATATAACATTTACTAATTTTTTAAGGGAAGCTACTTTTTCAGTATTTGATTTTTAATTTATTTATTTATTTTGCTGTGTCTACAGAATGGTAAGGCTCAGAAAATCAAATATCATATAATGTTTATAATTCAACCTCAAAAAAAGCCAGTGAAGCAGAAGGAACAGAATGCCTGAAGAGATCTGGGTCTGAAGCCCTCTGTGATGCTTTCTGACTGTATGACTATGGGTAAGTCACTCAATGTCTTTGAGCCTCAGTTTCTTCATCTGTAAAATGAGAGTAGTATCCCTAGTATCTCCCTCAGGGTTGCTGTTTACAATCAAATGATATCAGGCCCTTTAAGTCCTATATAATGTTTAATTATTATTACTTAAGGCAATGAAATACAAATATCCATTTTAGCTTCAGTCTCCTTGTCTGTAAAATGGGGTTCATAATAGTCATATTTCCTCTCTCGTAGGGTTCTTGTGAAGAAATTTATGTTCAGCATGGGGCAGCGAGGGGCAGGCAGGGGGCCCATCACACATACATGGAGCACTGGGACTGGAGTCAAGAGGATCTGAATTAAAATTCAACCCCAGACATACTAGCTGTGTGACATTGGGCAAGTCACTTAGTCTCTGTCTGCCTCAGTTTCCTCAACTGTAAAATGGAGATAACAACACCTAACTTGAAGGGTTGTTGTGAGGCTCAAACAGCCTCACAGTGCCTGGTACATAGTAGGTGGTATATAAGTGCTTACTTCCTTCTCTTCCTCCTTCCCCATCTCTCTCCAACACTCCCATCCACCTTATTCTCTTCTCTAGGCCAAGCACCCACAGTCCCCTTGACCAATGTGCATCTAACCTGTCCTGGAGATCCTTCAGAATCTTGGTTACCTTCTTTAGAGACTTACCAATGTTGTCTTAATTGTGGAACTTAGAACTGACCATAGTGTTCTATAAGTAGCCTGGCCGAGGAAGAGTAACATAGAATTATTGCCTCAGTTGATAAACATTTATTAAGCACCTATTATGTTCCAGGCATAGGGCAGTTATGTGGAGCAGTAGCCAGTAGAGAGAGTGTCAGACTTGAAGTTAGGAAGATGAATCTGGCCTCAGACTCGCACTGTGTGACCCTGGGCAAGTCACTTAATCCTGTTTGCCTCAGCTTCCTCATCTGTAAAATGAGCTGGAGAAGGAAATGGCAAACCACTCCAGTAACTTTGCAAGAAAACCCCAAATGGGGTCACAAAGAGTCAACGTGACTGAATTGCTGAACAAATGTTCCAGGCACTACCCAAGTGCAGAAAATACAAAAAGAGACAAAAGATAGTCCTTGACCTCAAAGAGCTCACAATCTAACGGGGGACACAAGCAAACAAATATGTATAAATAAACTATATACAGGATAAACAAGAAGTAAGTATGAATGAGAAGGCACTAGAATTCAGAGGGGTTGGGAAAGGCTTCCTGCAGAAGACAGGACTTAAAGGAAGCCAGTAGGTGGAGCTAAGGAGGGAGAATATTCCAGGTATGGGAGACAGCCAGGGACAATCCCCAGACAATGTCTATCTCTTGATAAATGTGTCATTTTCATGGAATATCCAGGAGGCCAGTGTCATTGGACCAAAGAGAATATGTCAGGGAGTAAGAAGTAAGAAAACTAGAAAGGTGAAAGGGTTGGGTGGGGAGCCCTAGCCCTAAATACTCTTCTTCTCTAAATTTAACCAAAGATTGCAACAATGCTATTTTTGATCTAATCTAATTATCATGATCTTCATTATTATAATTGACAGCCTTTTCTCATCAATGACTCATATAGACTTCCTCCCTTCCTCCAAGATCTTTTTTAGGTCAACTTCTACCTTATACTTGAGAAGCTGA